GTCTTCAACATGGCATTAACCAAATCAGTTAGAGTGTGGTTCTTTCTCTCTGCAATCCTATTGGACTGTGGTGAGTATGGTGGCTTCCTCTCATGAATAATTCCGTGCACCGCGCCAAACTCAGAAAATTCATTTGAGTAATATTTCCCCCCGCGATCGGACCGCAAACGCTTGATTTTCTTCTTAAGTTGATTTTCTACCTCGGCTTTATAGACTTTAAAATAATGCAACGCTTCATCTTTTGTTTTTAATAAATACACGTAGCAAAATCTAGTACAATCGTCTATAAATGTCATGAAGTATCGTCTACCGCCTTTAGTCAATTCGCCATTCATTTAGCATAAATCAGAATGAACGAGTTCTAATGGTGCCAAGTTCCTCGCCTCAGCAACCTTGTGAGGCTTGCGCGGTTGCTTCGATTGCACACACACCTGGCACTTAGAATCTTTGACTAAGTTAAATTTTGGGATTAAATTCAGATTTGCAAGCCGCGTGAGACAGCCAAAATTAATGTGACAAAATCGTGAATGCCATATATTCGACTCATCCGAAACATTAACATTGTTCACCACTTTATTACACACATCATCAAGCAAAGATAAGCGGAACAAGCCTCCGCAATCATAACCTTTTCCAACAAATGTTCCATGTCTCGACACAACACATTTATTGGACTCAAGCACAATTTTAAAGCCATCGCGACACATCTGAGAAGCGCTAACAAGATTCTTCTTGATGGAAGGGACATGCTGCACGTTCTTTAATAGCACCGTCTTTCCCGAAGTAAACTTCAGAACGACCGTACCAGCACCAAGAACACGCGCATGCGAACCGTTTCCCATCAGCAAGGCTCCACTCCTGCCGGCCTGATAGAAAATAAACAAAGAAACATCAGCACACACATGAATATTAGCACCACTGTTCATCCACCACTCAGGTGAAAGACAAACTGAAAGAACAAAGGGTAAAGAATTACCATACCCAGATGTTCCTCCTCCAGTCGCGCTAATTACCACATTTGATGATTTCTTTTCTTGCTTATATTTACGGTCTAGGCACGCACTTGCCCAATGCTCATCACTCCCGCAAACAAAGCATCCTCCACCTTTCTTGTTGTTTTTCTTCTTAAACTGTGCAGTCTGCTTAGGCTTTGCATTATTGTTCTCTTGCATGTTCTTCTTCTTTTTATTACGAGATGCAAATGAGTTTTTCTTCTGCACCATATTGGCAGCAGAAGACTCAACTCCTTTTCCACGGTTGTCATTTGCTCTCGCCCTCTCCTCAACATCAAGAGATCCAAGAAGCTCAGCCACGCTAAACTCTTGTCTCTTGTGTTTTAGAGAAGTAGCAAAATCCCTCCAAGAAGGTGGCGACTAAGCGATTATACCGCCGGCCACAAACTTGTCGGGCAACAAACATGGGAAATGTTTTAGTTCCTTCGCTAGCGCCTGTATCTCATGAGCCTGTTCGACCACAGAATGGGTTTCAACCATTTTGTAGTCATACAGCTGCTCCATGAGGTACAACTCACTGCCAGCATCAAGAAACCCCAAACTTTGCCTCAAGAGCATCCCATAACTCTTTGCCTGATGTGCAAGATATGTAGTTTTTCTCATACTTGGGATGAAGTGCACTAATTACGGCGCCTCAAAATAGGTTATCGGCAGCCAAGAACTTTCGCTCCTCCTCAGGAGTGAACTGTTCAGGCTTCCTCTGTGCGGCGTGATAGCAGTTCATTGCAGTCAACCACAATACCATCTTTGCACGCCATATCATAAAATTCTTGCCATCAAAATTATTCGGCTTCAAAGCGGCAGCAAAACCACTGACAGAAAATTGCCTATTATTAGGTTTTTGGATTGTTAGAAATTTAGGCATTTTCATTATCAGTTTAATCCAGAAATATAACGCTACAATAAATGTGTATGTGTATGTGTATGCAGAAATTATTGGGCTTCAAAGTAGCAGGTTTGCGACACATATATGTGCATGTGTATATTTCTTATGAACGCTACAACATGCATAGATGACGTACTGATTGATACAGTAAGAATACAAAATAGAGTAATCATAGAGATTAGACTGTACCCAGCGGAGGGTCCTATGCCGAGGGCATCGTAGGCTCCATTCGCACTAGTCCACATAGTGCGTTGCTCGAAGTCGCGGACCACAGTCGATGCAGGAAGATGTTCGCAGTGCAGTCCCACAAACGGATCACCAGGAAGAAGACGCCTTGACGTTCCAGGGAGAAGACGGATCCAAGAGCGATCTCCAGTAGGAAGAAGATGGACGAGCAGTCGTTAATTGCTCCACAAAAACCTAATCGCCGCTCACCCCATGCAGGATTCTTAGGCGGCTGAGGGTTCCGGAGGCACCTGCTCTCCCGCTCCTCTGTGCGCGCAGAGGAATGGGACGGGAAAGACAGAAGGCTGCTGATCTGTGGTTCTCTCAGGAACTGTTGTGGAAGCAGGGGTCTAGACTGACGGAGGACAGGATATGTATGGCTGCTGCGGGGAAGGGAGAGAGGCAGCGGAGAATTCCAGGAGACGGAGAAGCGGAAGCGGAAAGGACGGTAACTGACGCAATCAGTTCGCCTCCACCATCAAAGGGAGTAACTCCCGTGATTATATGGATTAAGTGGCAAAAGACTAGCCACGCCCACCCACCCGTCGTCTGCCTCGCCACGCCACGGCCCGGCCGGCGGCGTCGGCGGCGCGTGCGCACGTGTGGCACGCCTTTATCATTTTCTCAGCTTCTCAATTTAGATGAATAATTTCCAACCATATAAGCTGAGTCAGCGTTCAGTCAAAATCCCGTATGGTATTAAACCATACAATACTTAATGTTACGCACCATAGAGTTTTATTTGATTTATTAAATATTATATGGGCCAAGCCCATATTATATCCAACAACTTATAAGCTGTGTATGATCAACTAAGATGAATCTAAAAGCCAAACGACACACATTTTAACATCTTTTTCTGGGAAGCTTCTCCTTACACCATCCATTTATATTAAAACACAGAAGTTGAGTCAGACCAACGTATTTTGACCATGCTTTTGCTTCATTTATATAGCTTCTCACATAAGCGTTTTCACCACTGTAGCAAACCGGGTCTATATGAAGTAGTCATTTTGACCTGCTGCCTTGACCCTTGCTGATGAACAAATTCATTTTGTTTGTCTGGGCCTCTAAAAAAGTCAGCCCTAGGGACTTCCTCAAAATTACACGCTGTTTGGTTCGTAGAATGGTAATGCAAATGGAAACGAAATCGTATCACGGTGTATTTGTTGCCGTAACAGTGATACATCGCTTTGTTTGTTTAGCCTCCGTGACGTTTACAGAGGGAGGCGCTCGAGACGTTCGAGCGGGGCGGTGGCAGCGCGCGTAATCCGAAAAGCCTCGGGGAGGAGCGGTATCAGCGATGAATAGGACGCTATCTGATTACGCGCTACTTAATCACTGGCCGAGCTCAACCAAGCAGCTGTATTGGCATTGGGTCCCCTCAGTAATCGGATTACATTACATTTAGCTCAACCAAAGGCCATCTTAACTCCTACCAAGGCACGGGGCTAGCTCCGTAGGTTCATCTTCTCCTCCATCCGGTAGGTATAGGCAGCCTGCTCCGTTTCTGCAGGAATGGGACAAATAGGGTTCCTTTAATTAGGATGGAAGGTGCGTGTGTTCTACTGTATTTTACAGCAGGTCACGTCTGTAATTAGGAAGTGGTGCTCTCGTGTTATATTATATTTTGGGTGTTGAAGAAATCCAAAATATTAATTCTCATCGGTATTATACAACTGGGAAAGAGCCCAACACACACGTACACATACGGAGTCCTGCTCCTGCGCCAATACATTTTACCGACGCACGCGTGTTAACTGTTTGATCATTTCACCTGAAGAGAGAGGGCATGCATGCGCAACAAATATATAAATATTAATAATGCGCCTGTCTGGAATTAATATATAACCTATTAACCTTGAGCGGGACACCTGATGGTACAACCAAATCCGAGCTAAGTACTGGTGGTATAGACATAGTCACAAAATTCTTGTGATGATTAGGTCGTGAAACATGGTATACGCTCGTTAAGAAAGAGGTTTTCACTGTGGGGAGAGAAGATTGATCCCGTGTTCCCATTCCAAGAACGCATGTTCCCAGAACATATGGAACGTGGTACCGTACCATGTTCCTAGTGACAATGGATATATGGGCCTGTTTAGTTGGCAAATTTTTTGGTTTTGGGTACTGTAGCACTTTCGTTTGTATTTGGCAATTAGTGTCTAATTATGGACTAATTAGGTTCGAAAGTTTCGTCTCGCGATTTCTCACCCAACTGTGTAATTAATTTTTTTTTTCATCTACATTTAGTACTCCATACATGTGCCGCAAGATTCGATGCGATGGATACTGCGCAAAATTTTTTGGGTTTTGGGTGGAACTAAACGGGCCCTAAATAGTACATACATTAATTGCTTTAACAATGGCAAAACCTAGGACAGCCGGCTAGACATAGAGTAACTCACTGCCAGTTTGCCACCACATGATTCCTTCGGGGCGTATGGAGGTTTTAGCTAGGTCTCAAAGATCCCACCATTGTGTATCATGCTCCCAACTGTACGTGACGTGTTCATGTTCAACCATCTTTTCATGAGACAACGTTGTTCTTGAGCCCTGCATTATCATATCTGCTACGAACTTCCCGTGCCAATAATATAGAGTCAAACTGATGAAACTGTTTTAGTTTGTATACTTTTAGGTAAAAAGCGGACTAGCGCATACATGGTTTCAATAGCAAATATTGGACACGCTATAAGAAAATCAACATTCTTCCCCATAACCATTCAATCAAATTAAATGAGCTTAAAATTTAACGAATTATACATATATAATTCTCCTTACCAAAATATATAATATACTAATATTTATATAACATTATAGCCTAGACTAATAACTTATAAAGTATTTACAAACCATAACTAAACAAAAACTATCTAATCTAATAAGGTTTGATCAACAAAGGTGACGTAGTCGAGCTCTACCGACCCTAACCATAGATTGCCGTCCTTTTCGGCGACATCGCTGAGAGTGACACTCTTGTCTGCAGCTATTATCTCTTGACGCTCCACGGCTTTAGCATCTAGGCGTATGCCGACAATATGCTTGCCTGCCGCCGCATCCGCGCCGTCGATCTTTTCCCGGTTTAGCGCGACCCAGTAGCCTCCTCTGGTATCACGCCTGATGTTGTCCGGGTACCCAGACAAGTCAGCAAAGAGCTCGTAGGTTCCAGCCTTAGGCCCTTTCAGCCAGTACCTGAACAGCTGACACGGCCCTGTGTGCGCCACCACGACGTGTGTCCGGTCGGCACTCACCGCGACGCCGTTGGGATAGGGCAGAGCATCCTTGAGCACTATCACGCGCTTGGCCCGTGCGTCATACTTCATCAGCCGGCCGGAGGAGTCACGGTTTAGCAAGATCTGGGTGTTATGCCGACGCGTGTACGACGTGCTGCTATCTGTGAAGTACACATCGCCGGTGGACTGGTCGACGTCGACGCCGTTGACAAAGGTGAACGCGCCACCGTCGGCCTTGGCCGCCAGCACCTTGGCCTCACCGCCTGCCGGGCCAACTCTCAGGAGGCCGTGGTAGGCGTCAGCGATGTACAGGTCGCCGGTCCTGCCGTTGAACTGGAGCCCTAGGGGGCGGCCGCAGACATCCTCGGCGTCGCCCGGACGCGCCGGAGAGGCTTTGCAGGATGGGTTGTGGGCATAGCTGGTGCTGTAGGCGAAGGTCGTCCAGCCACGGGCGCTGCCGCCCCACCTGAGGACTCGGCCGTCCGAGACGCCGGCGTAGGGACCCTGGCCTCTGCTGTCGAAGGCCAAGCTCTCTGCGCCGGCGACGCCGTCAGAGAGCGGGATGAAGTCGAAGGCGCCGGAAATGGAGTCAGGAGTAGGGACGTGGATGGTCCTGGCCACCGCCGTACCAACGATCTGGTGGCCGGAGCAGAGCAGGCAGAGGAGCCAGAAGAGGCGTGACATCGCAACACGTACCGACTTACGGTTGTGGTTTCGATGGACGGGTAGGTAGGCATACCTATCGGTTGTGGTTTCGATGGACGGGTAGGTAGGCATACCTATGTACGTATGTATATATATGAGCTCAGTTGTATGGGGACAATCCTTCTGCGAGTTCAGTTGTATGGATTGCGAACACTCTTTGGTTGCCTGCACACGCCCGACAGGGGTTAGTCGTTGATGTCCACGGCCACCACCACCTATCCTTAGCCGGTAAGAACTCTGTTAAATTATAAAAATGTTTCTCTCTTTTTTTTTAACAACTACCTAACGTTCTCGTGTGTTGCAACAGAACCCAATACGTATAGGAATTAGACTCTGTATCTTTGCTTTAACTCGTATGAGCGCGGGTCATGAGTTAGGGTCACATAGGAAATACGTAGGGCGCAACTCAATATATACCCCGTATTCATCGTCGCTAGACGTAAGTTGTGTTAACTTGTATAAGTATAGGTTATGAATCCAAGACACATACGAGACAAGAGGACGTGAGTACAGTTTTGGACTCTCCACTGCCTAGGTAGTTAGGGGAAATAGACGAAAAAAATAGGTGGAGAAAAATTTTAGCTTTTTATTACATGCCCGTGCGTTGCAACGGGATCTAATACGTAGTGAGTTGTAGAATGGGTCATGAGTTTGAGTCAAAAATTAAATGAACTTAGTGGTAAAAATCTTTGTTTCTTAAGGAGTCAGATTAAAATCGATGTGATCTCTTATTTATTGTTTGTTTTTACTCTTATTATATTATTAGAACACGGAAAAAACCAGGTAGAGAAAACAATGAAAACAAAATCAGAAAAGTCGAGCTAATGTCAAAAACATCCATGAGAAAAAAAATCTGAGCACAATCAAAGCCAAGTAGAAAACAATCATGACAAAAATTAGAATGTACTCTATAAAATAGCCACGGAAAAAAATCAGAACATATTTGGAGCGAAGTGAAAAGTGTTCAAATGAACGTAAAGTAACGTGTACTTGGAGCAAGTAAAAACGGATAAACCAGAAAAAAGTGAAAAAAGAACAGAAAAGAAACTAAACAAAGAAATTCTACCCTTCTTTCCTCTTTATTAAGATTCCTATTCCGGTTACTCGGTGTTGGAGAGATCTAATTGGATTAAGATTCCTAGTTGTCCATATTATTATATTTTTTCTATTTGTATTAAGATTCCTATTCACCCGAAATTGGAGAGATCTAATTGGATTAAGATTCATAGGTATATAAAGAGAGTGGCTATAGACAGTTTTCCACATTCACAAAGTTAGTTTAGGATGGCCGAACCAAAATAGGTGGAGAGAAATTTTGCCTCTTTATTATTAGATATAGATGTATGGATATATATTAACAATGAGGTACTAAGCTACTATGACTGCAAGAAAGCCTACTACGCGTTCTAACCAATACTCAATTATTGCAGAACATGTGCCCTGCACGGGTTAAATTAATCTTCGAAGATGTAAGTGCTAGATTTTCACGTTTAGTACAAACATGCACATGCGTTGCAACGGGAGAAAAGAAACTATCTAACCTTTATAGAAAAAGAGAACATGAATGATGCATACCTATTTATATTCTACATTTTCTATAAAATTTAAAAGCTACTCCCTCTATTTTATATTATAATTGTTTTGGCTTTTTTAGATATATAACTTTTATTATACACTTAGATATACACTATGTTTAAATACATAATAAATGTGTGTTTGATAGAGCTTCAGCTCCAGCCAAAATAGCTCCTACTATGATTTCTGCGATAGACAATAGAGAAGCTCCACGTGGCTCCGACTTCTTTGGTTAGAGAAATGTTTAGTGAAACAACTTTTTCCTAGTAGATAAAAGAGTTGAAATGTCGATAATATTCTTTTTTTTCCTTTTCTATCTTCTTCCTTTAATTATTTCCTTCTGTCCACTCCTCTCTCATTTCTTCTCTTTGCCTTTTCTGTTCCACCGTGTCATGCTTGCCGCCGCTACACGTCTACGTCGTTCCTCTCACCGCGCCGTCCCTCCCACCGTGTCATGCTTGCCGCCGCTGGCCCTCGTCACCACCACCAAGAGCTGCTCGCCACGACCTTTAGCGCTGGGAGATGCTCGCCACTAACATCCAGCCATGCGATCTAAGAGGACGGGCATTTTGGGGTGGGTCCACTACCATGGAGGCCGAAGCTGACTGAAGCTAGTTTTTTCGGCTCTAGGTGTGTGTTTCAGCTCCAGTCTGCGGATTTCGCAAGACTTCACGCATGGAGCAGGTAGTTGCCACTTGCCAACCCATTTGGTTCGTGGCGTGTTGGAGTGGCTCGTGGAACAGCAGGAGAATTGCTACCAAATGCCCCCTAAAAACAATTATCTATATAAGCTGAAATGTTTTATAATTTAGAATATATGGAGTATACTTTGTTTTATGATGACAATAATTAACAATGTCCAAACCTGTATCAAATTAAAATAAACACTGATAGATTTTTCTCTCCCATTGTAAAGCATAGAAATATTTACATGTAAATATATCATAGCTTTACTTTTGATACTATCTATCAGGGGTACGTAAACGGGGTACCCCAAGGCACGGTTATAGAGTCGCTCAGATGGCCACCTGGCCACGACCCAGTCAACCACGGTCTGCCTCGACCTGTCTTCCCCCGAGCCGTACGAGGCCCACCTCGACCTCCCCAGTCTCCTGACCACGCACAGGATGGCTGCCTCGACCACCTCCAGTCTTGACCGTTCGGGAAAGACAGGAGGTGGGTGGACGCATTCAATGCACATGCCCGGATAGGACGCGCATGCTCGCACACTCCGCCAGGTATGAGAAGGACGACCGCCCCTTAGGCCATCAGGCCCTGGGGCAGAGCGTCGCCCCTTGGGCAGCACTCCACTGAAGGACAAGACAACACCAAGGCTCAGCTACGTCATCATACATGGCTCAGACCAAACCCCGCCTAACTCGATTGACAGGCGTACGACGTACCCACTACGGGTATGGGTCGCATCACCAGGAAGCCAATTCCCACCGAACTGCCTGAATCCAATGCCCCCGACCCGACCACCAAAGGTCGGGGCAACATAGCTGCGACCAAGGAAGAGGGAAGCCCACAAGGGACAGCTGTCCTCCCCGTACGATGGCATCACAACTTCTCCCTGAAGAAACGAGCGCAAGGATGAAGACCACGACGTCTACAACGAGCCCATGCCATACAGGGGAGTGGTTGAACAACCACCATTCCCACAGTGCCGCTATGGCCGGCACAGTGCCACCACAGCACACCATGCCTTGGCATGGGGAGCAAGACCCCGACGACCATACCTGCTGAGTCAAGAGATGGAGAAGCTTCCCGGATTATGTCATCAAGGAATCGATTAGATGTGAATCGATATCAGCTAATTTAGATTCGATGTCAGAATCGGCTATTTTATAGATGACGTCAGCAGACGGCGTCAATGGGCTATGCTTGAATGACGCTAGGAAGATGTGTCAGACTCTACAAATAAGGAAAATTAAGGTCCAAGTTATTATTAAGTTAGGAAGTTTTCTTTTATTCCAAGAATTATAATGAGTCGTATTTGAGTAGGATTTATATTTAGGTTCCGGGTATAAATATTAGACCTGGTTATTGTACAAGGGGATGAACACTCAATCAATACAATATTTTCGGCTTTTGCCATCGCATTAGGAGTAAGAGTACTGTAGATCTCGATGAGTTCTTCAGCAAACAGGGCTGCATCGACTGATCGACCTCCAGCTTGCTTGTGAGTAGCGTCACGACTTGTATTGTGCTTGTAAAACTGCATCAGCTGATTGATCTTTTATGAGCCATAATATAAGTTAGTTATCGATCTGTATCGTAGTTTGTAAGGCTGCATCAGCTGATTGATCTCTTACGAATCATAATATAGATCAAAGTTATCGATATTTTGTTAAATAACTTGTTGTTTAATACAATACCACCAATTATCGAATCTACTAAGATTAGTAAGATTTTCCTTACCGTTTTTGGTTGATTCACTAGTTATCGATTTTGTTATAACTAATGTTTTATTAATTATAATAAAATCACCCGATTGAGATGGAGATAGATCGACATTATATCATCTTAATTGGTCGTCCTTTGATCTGGTCACGCTTTCAATCTTATAATTGATGGCTTAAATCCGCTAGATCGGTTGTTTTATCTCTACCCCAATCAAACATAGTATGCATCCAAAGACATGTTTCAATCTTGAATAAACTCACTAGTTAATGAGATCTAATCTAATGACACTATCATAGCTGCATCGATCTGGTCGAACCTCACTGGTAAGACTTTAGATTAGAAATTATCGATTAGTGGTCTTGTTCATGATCAAGATATGTACTCTGTTTGCTTACTATGACTGCATCGGCTATTTTATCCGATTTACCTATACTCTCATGCATATAGCATGTTTTCATGAATTTGTCAACATATAGATGGTTTTATAGATTCTTTGGCTTTAGTTTGTTATCATTATCATAGCTACACCAATCCGATCGAATCTCACTGTTGATGATAATAGATTAGATTTAAATTATTTGTAGATTCATTTATATTAGACAATTGATTTGTTCACATGTTATACTCTTTTCATCAAACTTATCGGCTCGACGCTTTATATCGATCATGTTCCATTTAGCCGATGATGCTTTTTGATGTTCCATGAGCATCGGTTATTTTGATTCATATCATTATCATTTAATATTAGCCGATAATCCTTGATTTAAAGATTTTCATTTTATGGATACGCCATTTAGTCGATAGCCTTATTGAATCAGCTATCTAGCCGTACATTTGGAACTGTCTGGTGCAACACCGACATGTTTCACTTTAAATTACCGATAAGATTTTCTCTCCTTGTCAATTGCAGGTCAAATTGACTGGCACGTCGTTAGGTTTTTAGAATCGGCTGGTTCTGTATTAAAGCCAAGCAGATCTCTGGTCCTATTCCACTCAGA